TTATATCAAAATATAGCTCTCATGAACTCCTAAAACTTTTGTATGAAACATTTTTGTGTATCTCCTTCAACAAACCAGATATTGTCTGTCACATAAAATGTGGGACACCCGGTATAAGCTCTTTTCCTGCTAAACGAAGCTCTGGAAGGGTTGACAAATATTTCTTCGGTACTCGTGGGAACACTATGGGGAATAAAGAAACATCGACACAAAAGAAAAGAAGGTTAGACTAAGAGGAATTGAAACGAAATAAAAAACTTGCCAATGAAAGCGTTAACTTGAAACGCGAAGAATTAGACTGTTCGAAATTAACTGGGACTCGGCCACGTAATAATGACGCTATCAATAAAATAAATAGACTAAGAAATATAACAAGCTAATTCTTCTATAAGGTATGCCGGAGGAGTTGGTACCTACCTACTTCTATAGAATACATTTTATCCTAATAATAGTTTTCCCCGTTCCTTAGATTTTTCTGTTGAAGAACTCTCCGTTTTATAGATGGACTTTCGTATTGATCGATAACTATTGATTGAAACTAATAAATATCAAATAAAATAATGATAAAAAACTTTTGAAACAAGCTTTTATTCAAGTGTCCTAAAAAGATCAAAATATAATTTTAAATCACATTAACCACATTCATTTATGACTTTACTGAATTGAAATTATAATAAAAGCTTGTCGCGATAATTTCAATTTGTAATTGAAATTTTATAATAATTGTAAGCGATTCATAATGTTTGTAATAAAATAAAAGTGCCGTGAATGCTTGAAATGTGGAACTTTGACCTTAAATTTTTTTGCACACATAGGATTTATCGAGTTTGAAATTTATTGCAGTACCTAGTTGATCTGTCAGAATGTTTCTTAATTTAAATTTCATCTGACTGAATATGTAGAGATTTCTTCTAGGCATCGCGTAGGAATGAAGAACCCTAGAACAAAGTTTATCTGCATGTTTTTCTTTGTAGGAGGATATACTACAGTCTCTGCCACACATTGGACATTTTTTTGCTGCAATCACGTTTGGGATAGTTGTGGACCACGTGAGAGAGTCAGGACTTGTATCAACAACTACATCTAGAAAATTCTTCGTTTACCTATGTGAGTATAAACCATGATTAATTGCTTCAAAATTGCATATCTATCCTGCGGAATAGTGTTGAAGAACTTAGTGTAACTCCAACAAAAAGTCACGAAACTTTTTTTTGAATGTTTTTGTTAGTGTTTAGTCCACCAAACCTTCAGAATTCACACAATTTTTGGGAACTTGAGTTGATCATAATCTCAATTGTTCAGTCATTTTAGGTCGGTTTAGGCCTGTATTTCGGAAAGTTGACATAGCCAGCTGTAAATTTGTATGAACTTTATATTTTGGCATCATAAAAGTATTCTCAAAATTCACATATGATTTGATGGCCGCTACTTCAAAAATTGGGGGGTCGAAAGTCAAAAACACCGACTTTTTGCACGTTTTTTGCCAATATCTCGGTTCCAATGGGTTTTATGCTAATTGTATTTATTATCAATATTGTAGTGAATTAAATTTTCTAAAACTTTTGTTTCGAACATTTTTTCATACGTTGAATCGTTTTTTAGATAGAGGGCAGCGCGAGCGCAGATTAAGTATTATTTGAAATCAGCTCATTTAAGGTTTATAAATTATTATTAATTAACTAAAAGTTTTGCTAGAAATCGAGATAAACCGATTCTCACCCTTAAAAACTCACCCCCTCCCACTTCCTTTCATTTTTGTTATTTATCTTTCTTTTTCAATGGGTTTCATTCTACTATATTTTTTTTCACTTCTTATATATGATGGAATTGGCCGATACTTGCTGAAAATCCATAACTAACGTATTCAAAAAATACTTTATTATGAGATTTTCATTGAACAGTTTTACAAAAACTCAACTCGTGTTTCGCCATTCAATGGCTCATTCGGGCGTGTATTTACTTACTATATTCTACATATTCTGTCTCTGTTCTGTCTGAACAGTTTTACAAAAACTCAACTCGTGTTTCGCCATTCAATGGCTCATTCGGGCGTGTATTTACTTACTATATTCTACATATTCAATGCTTTTTATACCTAATTTTACAATTTGAAGTACATACATTTTAAGTACCTGGGTTTTATCTGAGTTTGTAATGAATTAAATCAAGCGAGCTTATGTCTCAGTTTCCACATTTGAAAAAATATTTAGTAACGGGGAGTTATTCAATTCTAATTGATCATTCAGTAAATTGCCCGATTTCTTGAATCTATTGATTTCTAAAGATTCTAGAAGATTGAGTTTCAAACTCTTCTCTCATTTCCTTCTGCTAAAAAGTGGTTTGCAAATGTGGAATTGGGATTTCTATTTACAAAACTACTTCCATGCTCTTCAATTCTTTGGGAAAATGTTCTTCCTGTTTGGCCAATATACAGTTTTGGGCAAGAACCACAACTCGGCTCATATACTCCTGATCTATCCGACACCGAAGTTTTGTCTTTATTGTTTTTAATAAATTTACTTAAACTATTATTCGTTCTGTAAGCTACATTTACGCATTCTTTCTTCAAAAAATGGGCAATATTATTAGTTTGTTCACCTAAATATGATAATGTCCTATAACTGACATTATCTCATCTTGAATTTTGGTGGACCTGGTCTATGGCTTGCTTTTGAAGTTTTTTGGAAAGAATGGAGTCTACAGGGTGTGTTTCAAATTCGATTCTCACCATTGGGATCTCGAAAACTATGAGAGATACGAAGATGGTTGATTCGGAGCAAAGTTACGCATTCACCTGACTGACAATATGCCGTTGGGAAAGTTCTGAAATTCCGAATATATCCGGAGATATCCGGAAAAAAGAGAATTTTCGAAAAATGGTTTTTATTTTTTTCTGGATTTATTTTTCGAAAGATTTGAAAATAAATTGCACCTCCACATTGTCACTTTTTCCCTGATACATAAAAAAATGCTATTGAGTGTAACAAATTGAAAGTCAAATTTAGAAACATCAAAGTGTAAGCCTATTATAATGAAATTTATTTTTTTTCAATTTCTACAATTTTTAGAAAAAGAATGATAACTTATGATACCTACATCATTGAAAAGGTAAAATCTGCTTCTATTCAAAACAGAAAGAATCCAATGTAGCGCCCATAAGAAAACATAAAATTGATGATGGCGGCCGGAAAACGAAACGTCTGATAGCAAATCTGAACCACCGTTATGTTGCAGATTGACAATGTGGAAGTGCAATTTATTTTCGAATCCTTCGAAAAATAAAGCCAGAAAAAATAAAAAACCATTTTCCGAAGAAATTTCTGTTTTTTTCCAGAAATCTCTGGATATACTCGGAAATTCAAAACTTTCTCAACGTCAGGTAAATGCGCAACTTTGCCCCAAATCAACCATCTTCGTTTCTCTCATAGTTTCCGAGATCCCAATGGTAAGGATCGAATTTGAAACACCCTGTATAATATCTACCTCATAACCGTTGTTGACCGCGATTTGTTTGATCAAACTCAACTCCTTCTGGACTATTCAAGTCTGTGAAGCATACTATTGAATGCAGCAACTTTATGCTGTTAAGAGTGTATGGAGGAATTATTTATGATAATGTTCGTGTAAGATGTTTTGCGGAAAATTGCAAATTTATGTTTATTGTTATATTTCGTAATGGTTAATCCAAGGTAATTTATTGAATTATTTACCTCCCTTTCAGTGGTGAATTTTATTGACGGGTGGATGGAATTGACATATTCAACGAACTTGCCTAATTGCCTATCTGTACCAATAAAACAGACTGAGATATCAACTACGTATTTGTACTAGACCAAGAAACTATTAGTTAACTGATTATTATGGATTTCATACTCTATGTTATCCATGAAATTTCAGCCAGCAAAGGACTCAAAGGGTTCCCATTATTAGTCCTTCACTGCATTAATGAAATTTTTCGTCAGTTTTTGTAAAACTATTTGGTGATAATCTCACAATAAAGTGTTTTTTGAATAAATTTCACTTTTTACTTTTTTTAAAGCCTCCAGCACTGGTCTATGAAAGAATCTAATGAAAGTGAAATTTTTTTTGAGTTTGAGAAACTGGATGATATAATTAAATTGAAAAAAGTTGGTTGGTCTAAGAAGAATTTAATTAAATTCGAAACATCGGCGAGAAAACAATTGTTTTTTTAAGAAAACATTCATCCTGTTTGAACCAACCAACCTTTTTTCAAAAAAAAATATTGAAATCTAAAGGAATGAACTTTAAACGTTCAAGCCAGTCTCGCCAACACAGTAGGTGGAATGGACTGACGCCTATCAGAAAACAACTACTCCCCTGGCTAATACCACGAAGGGCGTTGTATTATATCCGACAGGCGTCAGTGCAGGAATCTTCACAAGAAATTTCCTGCATATGCAATTGGTCATACAACTGGGTAAATTTTCGTTTTGAGGGCACCCGGCGGTTTTGAAAAAAAATTTTGAGTGTACTCTCGTATTTTGATGCGTAGATTACGAATCCGAAAGAAAAAAACGACGCTCTCCCTTATTTACAAAGTTACGGCCCTTCAAAGTTCAGAAAAGGGCAACTTTTCAGCCTTCTTTTTCACAAAATAAACTATTTAAAAACACAAGCATTTATTCACCAAGTCACCTTTACATATTATTCTTCCTTCTTTGACACTTTTCACTTCAATAATCAACATTTTTCCAAATAAAATAATTCAAATGTTTTCCACCTTCATTCTTTAGATCGTAAATTGGTTTTTGGTGGTGTATTAAGAATTTGAAATAGTGGGCGGCGGCAAATATCAACCGCTTTTTTCTGAAATGTCCCTAGTAACTGACCTAAAAATAGAAGAATGTCACCAGGAGAAACATTCGTTTTTAAATTGAGTTTTTGATGAGAAAAATGTTGATTATTGAAGTGAAAAGTGTCAAAGACGGAGGAATAAGGTGTAAAGGTGACCTAGTGAATACATCCAAATGGTTTATTTTGTGAAAAAGAAGACTGAAAAGTCGCCCTTTTCTGAACTTTGAAGGGCCGTAACTTTGTAAATAAGAGAGAGCGCCGCTTTTTTCTTTCGGATTCGTAATCTACGCATCAAAAAACGTAAGTACACTCAAATTTTTCTTCAAAATCGCAGGATGCTCTCAAAACAAAAATTTACCTACAACTGAAAGAGTCGACCTTCAATTTTGGAAGGGGCACACTTGCAGACCGGTTTCCGGCTCGTAGCAACTCGTCAGTGCAAGATAGTGGCCATCAGCGACCTAAAGTCAATGATATTCCATAATTAAAAATCGGAATTCTTTCAGAGTATTCCATTCCTCTTCCCAAGTTGGAGCGAACATCAAAAATGTCACTCCGTCTAGTGGACGAGGTACTAACCAACTGCATATCCGAAATTTGCCCGATTCCTCTGAATAAGGAAGAAACACTTTCTTATTAGTCAATGGGCTATGCTTGAAGACTGGCAGTGAACGTTTAAAGTTAATTTCTTTAGATTTGTTTACTGCCAGTCTACAAGCATATCCCACTGACTAATAAGAAAAAAATAATTGGACCACTAAACTAGTTAACTGGATATAATTAAAAATCGTGATAATTTTTTCTGTTTATTGATTACAAACCAAATTTCGGGGCTTTCACATGTTAACATTTTGGAATACTGAACTGAAATCATAGAAATTTATCGAATGTTCAATGAAACGGTATATAACCCAAATCTTGGCCAAATGCGGTACCTACTAAGGGAAGTTACTGAACACTCAGATCCGAACGGGAAACCTTTTCAGAAGTCGTAACAGCCCAAACCAAACCACAGAAAAACTGGAAATGATGCGATTTTTCTGGGACGTGAATCACAAAACCGCACTTTCCTTGAAAACCACGTTACCAAAAGTGGCGCATGTTGAGGTTTTTCTTTTTTCTTTGGGTAACAGTTACTACTTGTGAGGTATTTCATGGTTTTTTTTTCGTGAATGATCATGGGCATCAGGTTCTTATATTTCAGAGCCGAAGAGACGATGTGGGCTGGGGTACTCTTCACCTCGCGAAGGCGAAAGGCCGCGAAAGCGAAAGTCGCCCCAACGAGGGGAATTTCCCCCAATTTCTGGGCGCATTTCTGCGCGCAGGCCCGCGCCTTGGTAGCCCTGGTCCGTGACGGCTGAAGTATTTCGGTTGCTGGAAATCTCAGTCTTCAGTGGCCCAAAGTATCGACCTGAAATCAAAACAAAGATAACGGCTATAAACTCTTGAGAAGGCTACTTGAAAAATCAACTTTCAAAAACATCACATTCAATGGGCTTGTTTCATGATTTTTGGTTTATAGTTACTTGATAGCGATTTTAAATTGAAAAACAGTGCACTTTGTTTCATCTCTTTAAGTGCCGTAGTTTTCCCGTAATTAATTATCAAAAATCGAATGTGGTAGGATGATGACGTCACGCCCCTATTCCCGCTTCTTGTTCGATTGACCAACAGGAACAATAGAAATAATCAACATTGCCAAATCGTAAAATTTGTTACGGTTTCAAAATCACTACCTCAATTTGCAATAAACCTCCAATAGATTTTATAATGAAGAAAGGGAAAGCCTATAAAATTCCACATAATTCATAGTTTACTTAAAATATAACAAAAATAATTAATTTCGTATTACGATTTATTATGACCCTGTATGCCAGGAATATGAAGTCTTCGTATCTTTGCTGGAATCGGCAGATTCACGAAGTTCATTTATAAGATATCGTTTTTCTTTCAAGTAATTCATCTGTCCTTTATGACAGTTCATGTCATTTGGACATTTGGAAACTTCAGAAAAAAAGCGTCTCTTCCTTCTTTTCTTGGTTTTGGACCAAACACGGGAAGAACATCGCAATTTTGCGGATTTGAAAGAAGGTTTCAAAGTATTTCTGGGTAAATTTTCGTTATGTGGACACCCGGCGATTTTGAAAAAATGTTTGACTGTACTTACGTATTTTGATGCGTTGATTACGAATCCGAAAGAAAAAAGCGGCGCTCTCCCTTATTTAGAAAGTTACGGCCCTTCAAAGTTCAGAAAAGGGCAACTTTTCAGCCTTCTTTTTCAACAATACCAAATAGCATAATATATAGCTTGTTGAAATAATATTGTTGGGTTTACTGATCACTACAAAAAGACACATTGTAAATATATTTAGATAGGCAATATTGTGAAACTAATTTTATATAGCTGAAAATTGTTCTATATATAGCTGTAACATTTAAACATACATAAGGACATATTGTAAAATAATAGAAAAGCCAATTGTGAAATTAATTTAGGGTGGTACACTTGTATGGGTGGTATTACTGATTACCTACCTGTATGATGTACCTGAATAGCATAAATAAGTAGTTTCTAGTTTTATCTTCCTCTTAAGATGATCACTTGGTGATCGAAACACGTGTCGAGGTGTAAAAATAACGATATGGTGTTGGGAAAAAACTCCAGTGATATTCATTACTACACCAAAGGTTCCAAACAGTACATCATAAGGAAAAAATATCACAATATTCACAAATTTTGTCATAGTTCGTGCACATTACATAGATTGGTGCCTTAAGCATGAGGTTAGTTTGCGCCCGTTTACACATAAAAGTGCAGCTTTTTCGAGATGTTTGCCGGAGTATAAATATGTTGATGTAAGATAATGATTCACAGGAATCAATTTTATTGTACAAAAGATTGTACAGAAATATTAAGGAAGTCTGCGCCCTGCGTTTTTCTAAGGATATAAAGTTAAATCTTTGTAATAAAGAAACATAGTTTTGGCCTCTAGGTGGGTATACTCCATCAATTTCAAAGCTCAAAAATTTCAGAATTGTTTTTGTGCCTTCTCCACGATAGAAATATATTGTCCATATATGGGGTTCCGTATTAGAGATCCATATTCTAGTTTTGATCGGACAAAACAGAAATACATTTTTGTTAGAGCAGACAAGTTTGTGAAATTTCTACAATTTCTTACAATAAAGCCGTATGCACGATATGCTGCATTTACTGTACGACTAACGTGTATGTTAAAGGTGAGCTGCGCATCAAAATAAATTCCCACATCTTTTATCTCATCAATACGCTGCAGTTCTACATTATCTATTGAGCATGCATAGTGAAGACTATTACTTTTCCTAGTAAATGTCATTGCTTTACATTTGGATGTATTCACTGGGAGTTTATTTTTGATACACCACCTATGAAAAATATTCAACTGGATGTGCAAATAACTGCAATCATTCAAAGAAGTGACGGACGTATATAATTTTAAATCATCGGCGAACATAAGCCTCTTGTATTCGAGAGATGTACACAGGTCATTTATATACAGCAAGAACAACAGTAGGTCTAAATTAGATCCCTGTGCTACACCGCTGGTTGCCGTATTGAACAAACTGTTTACGGTTGACTAATATGATTCCAAAAGTGCTATATACATTTTGGGAAAACCTACGTTCGAGAGCTCGTGTAATAGAAGTATATGATTTATTCTGTCGAAAGCTTTTGAGAAATCTGTATACACCACATTCACCTGACCCCCATTATCTAGTGTTTGGCACAGAAATTGACTGAGTGGATGGCACATTAGACGTTTCTGGTGAAACTCCATTGAATTTTCAAAGTGATCCGTTGTCTGGTTCACCAGAAACGTATAATGTGCCATCCACCGTGAATCAGCCTGTATGTCTCGTTGACAAGTAGATGCGGTTGTACAAAATTATCTCGAATAATTTGGCTCCAATATTCAAGAGAGATATTGGCCTTTAATTTCAATCAGATTCTTGGCATCTGATTTTTGTGCAAGACACACCTTAGCCACTTTCCAAATATCGGGAAATATGGAAGATCTTAGTAGAGTTGAATAAAGTTTTCAGGGGACGCACTCAGACCCCTATACAGTCTTTGAATAGAAATGAGGGAATATTATCTGGCCCAGTTTTAAATTTATTTATTTATTTTTTTGCTGCCTCAAAGATTTCACGTTCACTTATAGGTTCAGAAGTTATATCTACAGATATCGAGTGGTCCAACGAAAAGTATGCACCTTGCTTTTCTACTTTTTTTGTAACTTAACGCAAACATACTCGGACAGGTCAATTTTGCTTTTGAGGGGGACACATTTAAGATGTATTTTTCTACCTGTGCTTTCAACCCCCTAGCGAGGGTGACTAACAACCCTAAAATTTTTAATGGAAAGTGGGGTCGAGTGATATATCATTTGAAACGGCACAAAATTTTCTTTCCAATGATACCTAATTTGTTATATTTACTTGAATAGTTATAAAAAAAGCAAGAACATTTACTCGATATTTTTGATGTTAATGAAAATGCGGAAAATCGGTATTTTTATCACTACTACATTCCTCTATTTCTCTCGTGCGATTTTTGGTTCAACTAACAACAGCAGATAAGTGTACAAAAATAATTTAGGCAAACGTTCATTGATTCAGTTCGGTTGCTTTTGAAATTATTTCAACTTTACTGTTGTCAATACCGGATCTGTCTGTAATGTGAAACACCAGCCACGTAAACCGATCAGAAATGAAGTAGTGGAAGTCGCTGTTTTGAGACATATTGAATTGGATCGTACTCAAAGTACCTGTCAGCTTGCTGCAGCCTCAGGTGTCTCCCGTTCGTCCATAATACGGATATTAAAAGCCTATAAATTTCATCCGTACCGAATTAAATTAGTACAGGAACTCAATGAAGATGATCCTGATAGAAGGCTGCAATTTTGTGAACAACTGAGCCAGCTACTGATTGATGATCATTCAACACGTGCTTTTCCGATGAGAGTACATTTTTTTTATGTAGTTGTTTTTCTTCATAATACCTACATGTTTGAGTGAAATACAACAAATTAGGTATCATTGGAAAGATAATTTTGTGCCCTTTCAAATGATATATCACTCGACCCCACTTTCCATTTAAAATTTTAGGGTTGTTACTAACCCTCGCTAGGGGGTTGAAGGCACAGGTAGAAAAATACATCTGAAATGTGTCCCCCTCAAAAGCAAAACTGACCTGTCCGAGCATTTTTGCGTTAAGTTACAAAAAAAGAAGAAAAGCAAGGTGCATACTTTTCGTTGGACCACTTGTATTGTGACTGGGACTAAGATCCACAATCTCTTCGTTGATTTCATTAGATTGGTATGCAGTTTTAAAAAAGTTACTGAACGCATTTACTATAGTTTCAGGATTATCATAAACTTCTTGATAAATTTCATGATATTTGGAATTCTAGATGTATTATTTTTCCGATAAACAAATGTCCAAATAAAGTCTGATTTTGAGCATTTTCTAAATAATTTTGATATGCTCCTTTACTTTTTTGTTTAAAATTGAGTCTCAAACGTTTAAATTCCTCAAAAAATATATTACTTCTAGTTTTTTTTTTACTTTGTTTGGTTTGTTTATAAAAAAGACGATTTTGACATTGACAATAATTTTAAAAAGTTGAAAAAAAATAATATAACGACTTCAAACGTTTGATTCCTGGTTTATATCGACTTTAAATCAAAGGAATTCACAGTAGGACTGACTAGTCCAAACATACAGTAAAGGACGGAGGATGAGAGCGTTGGAAATTGATTAATTGAATAAAAACCCCAATTTCAAAAACCTCAGTGACCAACTGGAACTCCTGCAACTCTCCTTTTTTGAATTTGTGACTTTTGACAACTAGTCTAGATTCCATTTGTACTTTGTGTTTTTGGATCAATACTCAATAATTTTGATATGTTATGAAAGTCAAATGAATATTGTTTTGGTTTCTCAAATAAGGTATTGATGATTCAGATATTTTTGTTATTTCAGGTATAGGTTTAATTAACCTACCTAAATAACATTGACTATTGGTGAAGAATGTTTTTGGATTTCTAGTTCTCCATCTTGATACAAAAAAATGTGGGAAAGAAGCAATCAATGATTTGTCAATTAAAACGAAAAAGATTTTATATTGTGCCTTCGTAAGATCCATTCTTGAATATTGTTCGGTTAATACTGTAATGTGAATATCGATTTGATTGAGAATGTTCAAAAGAAATTGTTGAAGAATTGTGCTTTTCACTTTGGTATTCAACGAAATAAATATGAGTACAGGCAACTCTCAACCAAGTTGAATATAAAATCATTGGAAGATAGGAGAATTTCTATGAACTTGAGTTTCCTCTTCAAATTAATAAATAGTGAGATAAACTGCCCAGAACTATTTCAACTAATAACTTTTCATATTAAACAAAAAGAAACGAGAAATCCTGACATTTTTTATACAAATTTTTTCCATACCAATTATGCTTTGAACAGTCCGATTCCTCGTATTCTGAAGCTGGGAAATTAATATCATAATAACTTCGATCTGTTCAATGTGTCACTTCAGGTCTTTAAAAATCAATTGAAAAGCTCGTTCGATTGATGACTCATTTACTTTGTAGAAATTCATGTTGAATATAGAATAAAGAAAATACTTTTGTCTAGTTTCTACTGTGTTTATTTATTCGTTACGACCGCTTTCGGCTTATAAGGCCATTTTCAAGTGAAACTTGAAAATTGTACTGAAAAGTTGAAAATATGTCTTTAAATAAGGTTAAAACAATAACAAACGAAAAATATTAGTATTATTGTGAAAAAAGCGCGGACGCTTTGTGCAATATTTTTGTATATCAAGCGCGTCGCTTTTTCAACAATTTGAGAGATAATTGCAAAACTTTGAGAAACACTTGCTATCAAGCATACATAAATAAAATAGAGAATAACATCAACAATAATCCTAGAAGTTTCTGGAATTATATTAATAATAAAAAAATCACAATCCTTACCATCTAAAATGTATAATGATGACACAGTCAGTGAAAATAGTGATGATATTGTGAATCTTTTTGCAGAATATTTCTCATCAGTCTACAGTGATGAAACAGTTAACCAAATTCCAGAATATAAATTCAGTAAGACGGTTGATATATGTAGTTATAGCGTTGATATTAAAGAAATAATCAATCTAGTCATGTCATTACCTGGGAAATTGTCTACAGGTCCTGATGGAATTCCCCTATTCCTAATCAAAAAATCTATTTTTACCCTGGTCAAACCATTTCACATGATAATCAATATTTCCTTGAAATCGTCGATCTTTCCAGATTATTGAAAAACAGTTTTTTGAAACCCATGTATAAAAGTGGATCACATAATGATATAAAAAATGATGGAGCAGTCTGTAATCAATCAGAATTACCCAAATTGTTAGACAGCCTAATTACAAAAAAACTAACATGGGATTGTAGACATATAATCATTAATCAACAACATGGATTCAGTCATGGTAGATCTACCGGCACAAATCTGTTCATCCATCAACACTGTATAATAAACGCCTTCGAAAATAGACACCAGGTGGATTCTATTTACACAGATTTTGCAAAGGCATTTGACCGAGTAAACCACAATTTGTTGTTGCATAAACTAAACGCTTTGGGTATTCAAGAAAACATTCTAAAATGTAGAGAGTATAATTTGTAAAATATGGTTACTCAGTATCTTCCTCAATCAGTTTCATCGGGTGTATCACAGGGTTCTCATTTAGGGCCATTGCTTTTCAACCTATTTGTAATTGACTTGAAAGATGTTATTCTTTATAATGAATTTCTTTTGTTTGCTGATGACCTGAAGATGTTTAAAGTTATTCATGACTCAACTGATACAAAATTATTGCAGTATGATTTATCTAACTTTGTTCGCTGGCGTGATATAAATCTACTGTAATTGAATATAGACAAATGTCAAAAATTTACTTTTTTCCGAAACAAAAATCCCATTAACTGGCCATACAAAATCAATCAATCAGAACTGAAAACAACAAACAAAATCAGAGATTTAGGAATCACTCTCGACCCAAAAATGTCATTTAAACCGCATATTGCAAATATTACTTCTAAAGCGTTAAAAATGTTAGGTTTCATTCTTAGATCTGCAAATGAATTATATCTCACTTCAATAAAAATCATATAGTGTTCAATTGTTAGATCAATAATCGAATACAATTCCGCAATTTGGTGCCCTTCATATCATGTGGATATTGATATGCTTAAAAGTGTTCAAAATATAAGTTTTTGAGGTGGTACTCTGCATATAAACTGGGATATCATATTGGTGAATGTGACTATAAAATTATATTGGACATTCTTAACTTGAATACTCTGGCTCATAGAAGATTAGAAGCAGACCTTACACTAACTCATAAAATAATCAATGGTAGCATCAATTCCTCGGAACTTGTCAAACTTATAACTTTAAATGTGAATCTAAGGAGAACCAGAAATTCGGAAATCTTCAAAGTACCCTTTTGTCGCACCAACTATGGTCAGAATGAATCTGTAGGTAGAATTTTGAGAATTGCAAATACATAAATGTAGATTTAAAATTTTTCAATTTTTCTTTTATTTTATATATTTTTCCTTAAACCTAGCTTATATTACTGTTAAATACATATGTGTGAACTTGTTAATTATCTTGTAAAAAATAGGCATTGCCGTAAATAAATAAATAAATATTAGTATTTTTCGTTCGTTATTGTTTCAACCTTACTTAAAAAATATTTTTAACTTTTCAGTTCGATGTTCTTTAAAAGCGTGTTTTTTAGTTTTTCAAACTATATTTATTCCTTGTAAGTACCAGAAATGTTTCATTTTTTAGTAATATAGTCACTAGACATAAGGATTTAATTATATTTTGTATTTCACACTTTGCGCTAAATGTTTTGTAAAATTGTAAATTGTAATGTAGACATCAGACATGAGCATTCGAAAATACTTTTTTAAATATGTTTTTGTAAATTGGCTTTGCCGTTGAATAAATAAATAAAATATATTTCAAAAGAAGTACCTCTATACATGGATGTGTAGATCATGCAAAGAAGTAACTTTCAGACACAAATTGGAAGAAAAAGTCTCACAAAATAGCTACTTTCACTGACTATAGTCTTGTATATTTAAGGTTTTTTTTTTGTCAAACTGCGTCAGTTTACTTGAGAATGGTTTAATAAACCGAAACATTTCGTAACAAATAAAAATTTTAATAGAAATTAGACAAAAGTTATTTTCTCTACACTATACTTGAATTTTTTTGTTTAATTTTTTCATTATCAATGTAAAAAGTGTATTATAATTACATATTTCTAATATTTAAATTATATCTACTTCATAAATGCCACTGAAAACTGAGACATGAATTTCCATATACTGGCATTAAAAAATATTGATACACTAATAATTTAAGAATATCGTGGAATGAAACAAATAAATTGACACTCACCTCAAAAAAAAAAGAATCGTTGTTCTGGAGCACAAGCCGTGAAAACTAAGCGGCTCCAGAAAAAGGACTGAAGAATTATTCTATTTCGTAGTGGATGAAATGTCAGAACCCAGTAGCGATGTGGTGGGGAACGGACAACCAGCATTGCCAAATCATAGTTGAGTAGTTGAAGTTCCAGAATTTTTCGTGGAAAATTTTTTGAATTGCTCATTCAAAACAAAAAAAGCGATCATATTTTGAATGAAAAATTGTTTCAATCGAGGAAATCAGAGTTTGTTGACCTTTTTGGTACATTTTCTCAAAATCATTATACTCTTTACACTGAAAAGTGTATTTTTTTCAAGAAAGATCGATTTTTGGTAAATTTTCTTGCTTGCTCCTTATCCATCTTTATACAAGAGCTGCTGCGCTCGATATTTCTAAGGTCATTGACCGTGTGTGGCATGAGGATTTGCTGGCCAAACTTCGATGCTATGGCTTGTTGGATCATTTCTGAGTTTGGCTCTTCAGCTTCCTCAAAAACAAATTGGCCGTCGATGGATATTTCTCGAATACTTCAACGCTGGTGTTTTTCAGGGATCTATACTGCCTTCAACCTTCTTTTTTCTGTATATCAACGATTTATTGGAAAAAAACAAGAATCCAATATACAGGGTGTAACTGAATAAGTGTAAAACATTTAAGGAGGTGATTCCTCATCGAAAAAAAGATAGGATCTCTCATATAAAGAAACTTCATTGGAGCATCCCTTGTTAAGATACAGCCCTTTAAAAGGGGTACATACAATTTGTATAACAATTTTTTTCACAAGCACTGAAACAAACCTGACGTTTTGTACTATCAAAAAGACACTTAGCCAGTAATTTATTTGGTTTACCCCATGATTGAAAGCGGTGGAAAAGGCAACCCCTAAAATTTATTTCCAATGTAACTTTTTGTCTAATTATTTGTTTACCACTTAAAAATTTATTTCCGATAGCCTGTGTCATTCTAAACAAAAAATGTCTCTTGAGTTTTTTTCACAAACTAAACCACTTCGCAGCAAAAAATTATTTTACGAACAACTACAGAGATACATCGTCATAAATACGAACTGGATTTATTGTTATTTTGTAGTCAGTATCTGCATTAAACGATTAAAGGGTACTAAACAAAACTAATTTATAAATAACAAAACACACAACATGTAGAAATCATAGTAAATGTTCAATGTCTACCTTCAGACATTACGCATGCGTCTAGACGTTGGCGCATTGAGCCACGTATTCGCTCAAATATTCCTGGAGTCTCTCTAATTACCATGCACGCATCGATGATGAGGTTTCTTAAGTCCTCTACATCGCGAACAGGAGTACCATAAACCAAGTGATGTAAATGGCCCCAAATATAGAAATTGAGAGGATTGAGATCCGGGGATCAAGCGGGCCAATTCTGTGGATGGGCGGGAGCCCCATCATGCATAAAAAACATATCCCTTCTGACACCCAAAGGAACTTCCTCCAGCAGTACTGAATGCACTTCTCTTAAAAATTGAACGAGTTTAAAGTCATAATTTCGAAATTACGAGATTAAAGTCAAAATTTCGAGATAAAAGTCGAAATTTTGAGATTAAAGTCGAAATTTTGAGATAAAAGTCGAAATTTCGAGATTCAAAGTCGTAATTTCCAAGAAACAAATAATAAAAATATGTGGCCCTTCTGCGCTTCCGTAATTTCACGCCCTAGGGCGTAAAAATAATTTCACGCACAAGGGCGTGAAATTACATTTTACGATTCGTGAACGGTGTGTGAAAGTACTATTTCACGTACGGGAGTAGAAAAAAAGTCTTATTTTGCATAGTTAAGTTTGAGTTCGATATTCTCTTCATTTTGTATTTGTCTCATTCTACAATAACGATTACCTACCAGGTGAAGTTACAACTGGTATTTCTATTGTTTTGAATTCTTGAGAAGCAATGGTTTATACGCTTCGAGAACGGATTGAAATAGTGAGTTTGCACTACCAGAATGGAAATAGTGGTAGAGCTGCTGCCTGTATGTTCAATGATAATCATCCAGATCCAGGAAGAAATGTACAACACAAATACATTCCGAAATTATTGACCAAATTTATGGAAACAAAAGCATAACCGATCAGGAGTCGTCAACGGTGAAGCTATTTGTACTGCAGTTTAAGGGCACGTTGGACTAATGGCAAATTCGCAATATCTTACTAAGTTATCTCGAGAATCTGGAATCAGTCGTATAAATGTTTTCAAGATCCTTTTCATAAGAACAACTTTCATCCATATCAGATTAGACTAGTTCATGAATTGAACGAAGATGATTTCGATAGACGTATCGGGTTTTGTGAAAGTCTCACTGAACGGATCAACTTGCATCAGAATTTCTTGTAGAAAATTTGTTTTTGGGATGAATATACGTTTAGTTTGAATGGAGAGGTGAATACTAATCCTCATTTATAACGTCAAGTTCATACCCAACGACCTCAAAAACTGAATGTTTGGGCAGGAACTTTAGGTGACCACATCATAGGACCTTTTTTTTAACGAAGATTATTTGTCTAGTGATAAACAACGGGCTTTATTTAAGAAAAATCAACGATAAAAATAAAAACAACAATTAAAATTAATTGGCGCTCCGGGGCGACTTCATTGATTCTAGTGGCGCATTTGCTTTATTAGCTGCAGGAAAACCCGGAAAAACCTGCAGCATCACATCATCTGAAGATCTTGATCTGCCAATGTCCATTCTCTCTCATAAAACAAAATGTAGGGTGTCTCCAGAGACTCCAATAAATTCAGTATATTGAAGATCATCAGTGTTATTATTAGATTGACTGGTGCCTCAGCTATACTTGTTTCCTTATAACAGTCAGTTAGTTTAGCGCATGTTTGACAATACAGTCGGTCATCACCTGTTAAAAATTCAATTTTCAGATGATTTAACAATAAGCTTGGCACGGACTGGATATTACTTATATTAGGAAACGCTAGATGAAGTTCCAGAAATTCACATGAGTTTTCGCTACTTCTTGAACATTTACTACAAAGTAAAAAAGTGAGGATTTTTCCAGCAAAAGATTCACCAACACAAGACGAGATAGACTGTACAGAATCCTTCAACCCAGAGCGGTCAGGAATATCGATTCTGCTATTGTTTTGCTCACGAAGAGTATTCAACAAGAACCCCAAGAATTCGGAGCAATCCTCTTGTTGTCCTAACGAGTATCTAGTGGACTTCAAAGACTCCAGGAAATCGGTTGGAGGGAAAGATAATACATTTTTACGAAACTGCAACTGCAACTGAACAATTGTTTTAGTTTGGTGAATAAGTAGGAAACATTCCCGTTCTCGTTCATCATTGAAACCTCGTTCTTGAAATTTTTCGTCATGAACAACACTTGTAAAATGCTATTCATGTAGCAAGTGTTTCGTAAATTATCCAATCCAATTTCCTCCTCTGGATTTTCAGGACAACTCTGTTCTGATTCGTAAGGAAGAACATGTTTCACAGAATCTCCATAAGAATCATTTCTCAAGCTGCGATCGATCCTTCCATGTGAAGAAGGGTTTCGTAGAGGGGTCGATTCGGCTCTTGCTTCATGAAACTCTTCTACTGAAAGTGAACCAGAACTACGAGGACTACAACTCATATTTGGGGGGCAAGAATGACCTGAGTCCACTGACCGCACTGAAAAAGAAGAAGGTGGATCAATCACTTGTGAATTAACGTTGTTAGGAGACTGATGAATATCCACATATCTCGGCTTGTTTCGGAGAGGTTTCAGTTCCGTACTGAAATTAGGGCAATGCATGATCTCATCAAAATTATGTGAAGGAGGAATAGTTCCAAGTACTGAAGCAGCATTGCCACGTTGAATAGCAATGCTAATTCTTTCTATCAAAAAAGAGGTAGAACGGTGATCTTTCGTTGCTTGGCCTATTCTCCTTCCGAGCTCATGAACGAATAACAGAGACTAACGTATGCAAAAATTTCTTCATTATGAAATTTTCACTAAACAGTTTTACAAAAACGCAACACGTGTTTCGCCATACAATTGCTTCTTCGGGCGTGTCTTTACTAACTGTATTCAATGATTGATATACCTAATTTCACAATTTTAAGTATCTACATTTCAAAATAAATATTTGGATATGTTGGAGAATCGATTAATACCGTGTATCGATAGGGCCATTGAGGAGCATATAAATTTATTCGAATACAAAATAGTTTTTCAACAAGATGGTGCATCTCCTCATTATAAAGCGTTTTTTTTCCAGTTTTCAAACTATTTATATCACAACTTGTTTCGCTATCACAGTAGTTTTTTAGTGAATAACATGTTATTCACGAAAAAGCTACCTACTGTGAATATCAAACCTAATTCACCGTCCATTTGGCCTATGCCCAAGTGGTCTTATTTTCCAACAAATATAGGTAATTCAAATCATGCCACAAATTTCAGGAATCTTGAATGCGAAAGTCACAGCAGTGAAATTTGAAATTGTTGTATCGTAGCATCCACCTCTGATTGTTTTCAATTATCTCCATCAGAAATTATTACGCCTCATTGTTTGTTATCGTTTCAACAGGATATTTACGCCTACGACCAGACTCGATTCAGCATAAAGACATTGATGAGATTTTCATTTCTCAATAAAGCACGTCCAACGATATTCAAAAAATATGTCCAATAATAAACAGAATAATCATTTGCGGCGTGTCCTTCGCAGAATATTTTTAAGAACATTTAGATATATCGTTATTGTGAATCTTTAAATGGCGTTTAGCTCAAGGAATGAATATTTGCTTCAGTAATGATAAAAAATGAAAATAGTGCATTTTCAATATTCAAAAGAACTAAAAGCATTGCGAAATATGATAACAAATACCACAACAGTTGAAAAAATACATTCAAGATCAACACAATTACAAAGAATTCTGGAATTGGCCGATACTTGATGAAAATCCTATTCAAAAATTACTTTATTATAAAATGTTCGCCAAACAGCTTTACAAAAACGCAACACGTGTTTCGCCATACAATTGCTTCTTCGGGCGTGTCTA